CCACATAAGCAGAAAAAGCCAGAAGTAGCACTGTGGCTCAAGTGGTAGAGTGCTAGCCTTGAGCTGAAGAGTTGAGGGACAGCGTCCAGGTCCAAAGTTCAGGCCCCACGACTGACACACACACACACACACACACACACACGCACACACAATAATACTTATCAAAATGAACTCCAGGAAATGAAACCAAGAGATTTTTTTTTCCTTTTTGTTTCCTTTTTGTTCTGTATGTTCATTTATATGTCTTTGACAGCATAAAGGGAAGCACAGAAATGGACAAAAGATGAATAAATGCAGCAATGGTATTTCACTGGACACTATGTTGAAAATGAGCTATATAACTTGTGGGTGGGGAGAGAGTGAGTGAAGGGGTGACACTTTCTAAAAAGAAATGTATTATTTACCTCACTTATGTAACTGTAACTCCCCTCTGTGTATCACCTTTATAATAAAAATACTTCCTAAAACATGAGTGTACAGTTATCATTACTGTATGCTGACACCACTATACCCAGGTGCTGGTGACTCACACCTATATTCCTAGCTCCTCAGGAGGCTGAGATCTGAGGATCATGGTTCAAAGGCAGTCCCGGGCAGGGGTGGCGAGGAGGCCAATTATACTTCAGCTTTTTGCTCAAGTTAGTGCTGTTCTATCACGTTGAGCTACAGTGCTACTTCCGGTTTTCTGGTGGCTAATTGGAGATAAGACTCAATGACTTTCCTGCCTGGCTAGCTTCAAACCATGCTCATCAGATCTCGACTTGTAGCCATGATTACAGATACCTGTTTGAACTCTTTCTTTTTTGTCGGTCATAGGGCTTGAACTCGTTGGCCTGGGCGCTGTCTCTCAACTCTTCAGCTCCTGGTTAGAATTCTACCATTTGAGCCACAGCACCTCTTCCGGTTTTCTGATGATTTATTGGAGGTAAGAATCTTAACAGACCTTCTTGCCTGGACTGGCTTTGAACCATGATCCTCAGACCTCAGCTTCCTTAGTAGCGAGAACTACATGCATAATCCACCGACAAGAGGCCTGTTTGAAGTTTTTAAACCTGAGCAGACCCAAGGCACACAAAATTTGAAACACAACAAAGCTTTCTGTTTTTAAAACATCATTGTTAGCCCCGCTAGAAGCAAGGCCTCAAAAAATTGGGTTAAGACTCAGAATTGTTCCTCTCCACGGAAATCTTTAGTAAAAGGCGAAAGATTTATACGATCTGAAGAGAAACCAGAGTATACGGTGATGTCTGATCACCCAGCACTCGAGTAACTGCAACTCCTTCATCACCAACGGTCATTACTTACCCAAGATAGATGGTGACCTTTGCTCTTATGTCACATAATTCTGTGACTTTTTCTTATTTTTAAGGGAAAAAAATCTAAAAAGAAAAAGAATCATGTTTTAATTTAAGCAAAGTCCTGAGTGCAATGCATTGTGGGTATGTAAATTATCATACGTAGCCAGACACACCCGTTTCCGGAAATTCCTTAAATAGTTCGATTTGTTTCCCCCGCGAGGCGTTGAGCCACCACTAGAGGGCGAAAAGGAAGCTAGAGTTACAGAAATATACCTGGTCCATCATGGAAGGGAGAATTAAGACTGCAGAAAGCCCGGTTGTAGGTGGCTCACCCCTGTAATCCTAGCCACTCAGGAGCCTTAGATCTGAGGATCGGAGGTTCAAAGCCAGCCCCGGAAGGTAACTCCGAGAGACTCTTATCTCCAATAAACCACTCAAAAGCCGCAAGTGGAGCTGTGGCTCAAGTGTAAGCTTGAGCAAAAGAGCTTAGGGACAGTGCCCAGGCTTCAAGGTCAAGACCCACAAATGACAAAAAAATATATATATAAATTTTATATATATATATATATATATATATAATTGTCTAGGTACATTTATTTAACAAAGATTTGTTCAGCACTACTTCTGAGAAATGTATGATACAGAACATTGGGTGTTGGGGCTGGGAAGGTGGCTCAGTGGTAGAGCGCTTGCCTTGCATGCATGAGGCCCTGGGTTCGATTCCTCAGCACCACATAAGCAAAAAGAAAAAAGC